GTGACAAGCCCGCCCACTCCCCATATAACGGTACTGTTAAAAACTACTAAAAGTGCGATAAATCAAGCACTAAACAGCCAAAGACATTAAATTTTATCTCTGGGATGGTATGAGATGACTTTATAGGAACCGCGTTCAAAATTAGACAGCGCCGACTTTAAGGCGAAAACCCATATCTTGGGAACTGCTTAACCGATTTCAACGAAATTTAGTACATTCTTCTCATATTTGTATGTTATAGTGCGAAAATGGGCGAAATCGGATTACAACCACGCCTATTTCCCATATAACACCATTTTAAATTCCATCTGATTCTTTCCCATTCCACTATGCAAATCAAGCAAAATATATAAAGAAATCTCAAACGAGTATACCTTTTGACTTTGCGAGGTATAAAATGTTCAGATACATCCGAAGTTAGCCCTTCCTTATTTGTTTTGGATTCACTTAACTAATAAAATTACTCTATTAGCCAGTAATCTCAATTGAAACGGTGATTTTATACAGTGAATGCCTCGAAATCGATTTTTAATAAATAGCAACTGAAGATATGCTAAAAGCAATTTGTCTATAAAAACAAGAAAAAAAAACGTTAACTTTGGCTGCACAGAAGCTATAAAATACTTCACAGGTGCATTTTTTATTGCTTTAGTAGTTCGTCCTAAACAATTTCTCCAGTGCGATACCTTGTTAAACATAAAACCTTTTCATACAAAGACTTGAGTCTGATCGGTCAGCTTGGGAGAAATGATCGTGTGTACAATTTCAGACCGGTATCTCAAAAACTTAGGGACTAGTTCGTGTCGTATTTACAGACGAACGTGGCTAAATCGGCTCAGCTTATCACATTGATCATTTATATACCTATATAATATGTACATACGAGTATACTCTATAGGGCCTCCGATATTGCTTTCTGGGTGTTACAAACTTTTTGACAAACTGAATTTACCCTGTTCATGGTATAAAATTATATTTATACCATATACAACCTAGACCACAGTTTAAGAATAATTAGCGGTTTCTACCAATTTTTCATGTGTTAAACATTAGACATTTAATGGAGGTGAGGTTTAAACTGATTCGACCCTTAGTTTGATTTGCTATTCCGTCATTAATATTAATATGAAAGCAAAGAAGAAAACGTGAACGGGATAAAAATTAGTTTATAATACAAAGTTAAAGATATATATGTATAATACATATTTACCCCAATTTTGTGAAATACTTGTAATTATAATATATAATATTTCGACGCGAAGCGTGTCGAAATTTTTTCGAAAAATCTTACTAATATTATAATTGTGAATGTAAGGTTGTTTGTTATGCTTTCACGAAGACCCCTTAACTGATTATTCTCAAACTATTAGATTAGTATTAGAAAAGACATAGAATATTAAAAAATATATATTTTTTAAGGACTTTGAAAAAAATTATTTTGGCAGATATGAAAACAACTTCGTTATATTTGCAATAATCAGACAAAATTGGAGTTTTCTAATTATCTCCAACATCACTATAGTTTTCGTGTACATACTTTGTATTTAGATATTTGTTTTGGTTAATGACCTTTGATGTTTATTTAAAGGATTCGATGCAAGCCACCATAACATAAAAAGTTTAAAGTTTGTATAATATGACATATATGTAAATATTGATACACTATTATTTTGACATATTACAATGTAAGACAGTTTAAAAGCATATATTTGACTAGAAGCGTAATAATTTTCTGATAAGGTTTAAACCCCATCTTAGAACAGAATATATAACAAGGAAGCAAGGGCTAAGGTACGAGTTAACGATACATTTTATATCCTGGCAATTTGAAAGAATCAAACCGGAGGAAATACTTTCATATTTTGTATCTTATTAAATATTTGTATGTATCATAGGCTCACTTAGTTTCATTACTTCATTTTGCTTCGTGCCCATGGGATCAACATGTTCTGTATCTGAGGGCTTGAAATATTATGGTCTGATTTTGATAGACGTGAGATGGCACTATTTGTGCAAAGGTGCTTTGTGTCATATGTTTTGTATATTGAGCATATAACACTTTTCTCACAATAATGCAATTATTATTCGGTCAATACTACTGTTAGTTTATTTTAAAAATGATTTTTATACAACCTGTTGCAAGAGAGTATAATAGTTTTGTTCACCTAACGGTTGTTTGTATCACCTAAAACTAATCGAGTTAGATATAGGGTTATATATATATAAATGATCAGGATGAAGAGACGAGTTGAAATCCGGGTGACTGTCTGTCCGTCCGTCTGTGCCAGCTGTAACTTGATTAAAAATTGAGATATCTTTATAAAACTTGGTACACATGTTTCTTGGTACCGTAAAACGGTTGGTATTGCAGATGGACGTAATTTGACCACTGCCACGCCCACAAAACACCATTGATCAAAAACAAATAAATTGCTATAACTAAGCTCCACAATAAGATACAAGACTGTTATTTGGTATTCAGGATCACACTAGAGGGATTTAATGTGCATATCTCCTAAACCGCTAAAGCTATAATAACAAAATTCACTGAGAACAAACACCGAAACATCGGTTCGGTTACTTCCTTACTTGTTAAATTTTAGTTTGAAGTGCTTTAAAATCGTGTTTTTTATTGTATTATATTTATTAATATTTTAATTCTACTTTTAATATGAAACCTGAAAAATGTAAAATTTTCGCAAAACTTTTTCATTCAGACGTGTTCGAGAGAAGTCCCCATAATAATCCAAATGTGTTTGCATATATGTTTGTGGTATGTATATATAGTAATTAATATTAAGTTAAAACTTAGTTAGTTTAAGTTAAGTTAAGGTGATAAGCTAATGGGCCACGTATACTCGTAGAGCGGTCGTGATCATTTGAGAAACCAGATGAAATGCCGTTACGTACTCCATGAGGAGTATTCATCCTTTTGGATACCTGCACTTGAGATGCATCCATTGTTTCTCTGGTGCCTTGATCTTAACTTTTCTTGCAGCCTTCTCAAACTTAGTTAATTTTATTTAAAACAAGTAAGGAAGGTCTAAGTTCGCGTCTTACCGAACATTTAATACTCTTGCAACTTGCAAGGATCAAAGCCGGATCAGGTGTTGACAAAACTTTATATTAAGAAATGTAGTAAAAAGGTTCAACTTCATTGTTGGACGAAATGGTGAATGGATTACAATCAAATTTGGCATCATATTAACTTAGTTTGAAGGTCATAGACTCAGTCAGTTTTATTACTATATTTTACTTTCCGTCAGCAAAAAATATATAATACTAAAATCATTAAGGCATAGAAATGGAAGGGCTGATTTTGATAATTTTTGGCATTGCTCAATTATACTTAAGAACTTAATTTCGGACGTTTCAAAATCGAGAACATGAGTTATATGAGGACTAAGGCATGTTTTCGCGATCTTTTATCCATTTTAGACACAGAGATACACTGTTATACAATATATGGTATAAAGTTTCAACTGGCAGTTCGAAAATCTTTATATTATGAATATGGGGGCTAAGGAAAGTATTGAACCGATTCAAACTGTTTTTGACGCCCATTATCCAATTTTGACATCAGCTCCTTTAAAACCCTTTTGTGTCATCTCGGATGTATAATTAAATGTCTCAGACGCATTCCTTTATTGATTTATCACAGTTTTAGTAGTTTTTAACAAAACCGTTATATGGGGAGTGGGCGTCCGATTTCACCTATTTTCATGCTGTTGCAATAGGTGTCGAAATGATATGTCCTGTGCAAATTTGGGGTGGGGTCACGCCCATAGTTTTCGACTAATACCGTCCTAACTCTTTTTCCAAGGAACACGTGTACCAAGTTTCATTAAAATTTCTAAATTTTTACTAAAGTTATCGCTTGCACGAATAGACAGACGGACGAACAGACGAACAGATGGACAGACGATTATTTTTAGGCGATACAAACAACATATAAAAAAATATAAAATGTTCGGTTACACCCGATCTCAGAACTTCCCTACTTGTTAAATTTTGTTATGTAAATTAAAATTTGAAAGTCGTTTTTTCTAATATTTTTAACGTTCGCATTAATTTAGTTACCAAGAACTATTTTAAATATAAATTAAGCAGGAATTTCTTATGGAATTATGAGTATCAGTTCAATTTATATAATGCTTAACAAACGGTAATTCATTCTCCTCAAGGTCTTACTGTGAAAGAGTTAATATAAATTTGTGCTAATCTCAATAGGAACAAACAGCAGCTCTGCCGTACAATTTCGCTCAGATTTGCTCATGCGTAGTTCTCTTCAAGAAGCCACTAGCTAGCCGATTAGTTTTTACGTTTAGCATAGAAAATCAAGCACAAACAAATGAGTATCATAGTATATATGAAGATGTATATGTAAATATAGAACTACTGCTGTCTCATGCATATATATCTACATAATTGTAACTTATATATACATATCTGTACTAAGTGGAAGTGTAAAAATGTAGAACAGTAGGCAAATTTTGATACATACATTTGTACATATAAACAAGTGTATGTACTTATTTCGACGGTTAACAACTTTTTTGTATTTTTATTTACGTAAATATATGGCATTTGTTATATACTTATACGAAGGTACATACACAAAAACAAAAACAAAACATATACGTATGTGTAAATGCATATGCATATGTATGTGTATGTAGGTATATGAAATTCCTAATGCAAATGCCAATTTAAGATAGTATGAATACATGCCCGTATTATATATATACATGCTTACATATATAGGTACACCATAAATCTGAGATTGTATACACAGGTTTCCAAATACACATATTTGCGAGTGAACCTTTTACTATATACAACATACACATACCATACATACCAAATATATCCATACGTACGATTTTCACAACTACATTTTCATTCATTACAGCTATTATCTCAAAGATATGTATCTACTACTACTTTTCAGTTGGGTGTAATTAAACAAAAAAATGCCATGGGAAAAATGTAAATATTACTTGTAATTTGTTAGCAGATGATGTGGTTGTTCGTGATCATATGAGGGTTCCATTTTACTACTACGTCTTGAACGCTTTTGAAGGGACGGCACTAGCAGTGTTTGTGTTGTTGATGACGGCGACGGTGGCGGTGGCGGTGCTGGTGCTGGCGCGGACGTTGTTGGCCGTGTTGCTGGAAGCGCAAGCGTCAATTTTGACTTTAGCAACGGCTTTAGACGGGACGCAGAGGGTGTTTATTGCTGACGGTCTAGTAAGTGTGTTCGTTCCTGTGAAGGTGGCAATCGCGACAGCGGCAACTTGTGGTATTTGAGTTGGTATTTGTTTGCCTTTGTGTGTAGGTGATTGGGCCAGAAACATTTTGTTTAATGCTGCATTATTCCGTTAGGTTTCCCTTACTATTCACTGTCTATCTGACTCTGCCTGTGATGCTACTTTTTGTTGTTCTTGTTGCTACTACCACTGTTGTAGTTTAATAACGTTCGCTGTTGTGGTTCTCTTACAATCACTTGTATATATATGTATATCTTCAAACACATAAACACATACACACATACAGGTAGCGTTAGATTATTTGCAAGGCAGTACCCTAAAGAAGCAACGTGCTCTAGTTTGACTGCAATTTCGTTCCATTTATTACCCTCGGCATATCCAAAAGGCTAAAATACGGGAACGCTCATGCATTCACATATGTATATATTTACATATATACAAACGTTTCTAAGCTTAATTTATATTGTAAATATTTCTGCGCGCACTCGTTATATGTGTTCAACTAAATGTGAACCGCGTTCACTTAAAAATGTACACAAAGAGTTTGGTTTACTTTAGTCTAATAATTTACTAATTATACGCTAATATATAGTTATGATTAAATCCAAATGCACTTCTCGAAAATAAACGAAGAATTATGATGGCTTTTCACACACATACTATACATATAAGTATGTACATACATTTCTTGATTTAATACATTCTCTCACTTGTGCTAACTGATATCTATATCTGATTATTGTCATTGAATATTATTTTCTGCTATCATACTTTTACATATACATAAATAAATATGCATATGTATACACATATAACATACATATATGTGTATACTTATGTACTTGCATTATATAATATAGGAATTATAAATTTAAATTTTAATCACAAAATCTAAACTTTAAGCCGAAATGTTTGGGAATAAATATTGAACAATTAAATTTAAAACTAAATTTTTAATTTTTAGTTTGGCTTTTGGATTTATAATTTTAAAATTTTGCTCATTTTACGAAGGCTGTCTTTTATATTTCGGAATTAGAGAACAAAAACGAATATTAATCGTCGAAAATCACTTTATTGTTTTTCAAAATATTCTACATTAACATCTATCAATTTTTGCATAAGTTTGAACTAATTTTCGAAGCAATTTTGCCACTCAGAATTAGATATCTCCTAAACATGCATTTTAATCGCATCAACCACCTCTTCAGGTGTCGAAAAACGTTGACCTCTTGGTTTATATTTACGTACGGAAATTAAAAGAAGTCATTCGAAAAGAAGTAGATGGGCTCGCATCGTCGTGGTGAAGAGTGCTCCGTCTTCGGCGTTTGGTTTTCCAGATTTCTTGAAAGATAACTGGCAAACAAATGGTTATGTACCACTCTTAATTTACTGTTCTGTACTGTTCTAGTGATATGATTGCGACATGTCTAGTTTTTTTTTAATAACTTTGACTTATTGAGGGCTTTGTGGTTCTTATACCTTAATAATTGCTCATGGATTATGTTCGTCAGGATTGCTATTCCATTTTTATGGGCGGGATGAATATTTTAAGTTACTGCAAACAACATAAATAGCGCTCGTATGTCAAAATATTCTGAGTATGTATAAAATCAAAAATGTCAAACTTTACGATAAAGTTGTGAGTTGCAAAATGCAACAGTAGAGTTTTAAATTCCGAAATATAAAAGGCAACCTACGTAATCCCAAACATCTTGCCCTAAAAATTAAATTTTCTATTGGAATAGGAATCAAAAATTGAGAAAATATGGGAATAAAAATTTAAAATTTAATTTAGATTACCTCAAAATTGGAAGTAAAATTTTAAAATCTAATTTTTAAACCAAAAATGTTTAATGAAAAAATTGGTTACCCTACCCAGGGTGAATCTAGTACCACTCGAAGCGCAGTTGAAATACTGGCTTCTGGTCTGGTCTGCATTCTAAAACTACGCAATCTAACAATGGCTATTTTATTTAAAATATACATATATACATTTATGTACACCTGCGGCCACGCGAAACTTGCCTCTATAGTTTCTTAATTTTTTTTTCGGAATTTTTCGTTCCTTGGACATTTTTTTAAAGTTTTTCAAAATGATTTCAGTAAGCACAAGTAAGATATTTTTTTTTATTTTCTGATTATAATTATAGTCTTCGATTTATTTCATTTAATGGATAAAACACAAAATAGCTTTTCTTTCCTTATACAAAAGCGTTCGATTTTATTGTTTTTAATTTAATAACGCGACTAAACTTTGTATTTCAATTTAAAAAAATAAGGAAACATTGATTTTAGTTATAGTATAAGTTAAATTAAATTAAAAACATAAAAAAATTATAAATTTTTCATAGCATGTCATTCTCTTATATTTCGAGCTCATTTCGTTAGCTCTACCAACTTTCAAATGATTGAGTCTTCAACTGAATGACTTTTGTTTTCCATTTTTAATATTTTTGATAAATAGCATGTCACTTACTTATTTCTAAATAAACAAATTTAAAAAAAATGGTGTTGCCATGGTTAGTTGTGCGTCCACACACAGTGGTATATGTTCAGTGAACTATAAACTTTCAATCTGTACCCAGGTATTTATGCATATATACATATATATACCATAACACTGTAATACCGTTACTTGGTATTGGAAAGTATTTCACATAAATATTATTCTTAGTGTAGACGATGGCAATATTCATTCAGGGCTCTTTGGACGTTTAAGAAAACAATTCTGCATAAAATTAGGATCTTTAAGCCTAGGTATTGGCTAATATGACATATTTTTTACAGCAGATCAAAATACCGCTGTATATCGTCCGAACGGATGCTGGTCCTATGTTGAAAAGAGCACGTTTATTTAATTTGGTACCTCGAAATAATGCATGGCAATGTGATCGTTTATAAAGCCCTTAAATAAAAATTTGTATTAATATTATTTGCAACGAACGAACGAAGAAACTTATGATCTTAATTACATTCTGACCGATTGGTTCATAATAATAACAGTGCTAATTTAATATTGAGGAAAAGTAATAATAAATTTAACTGAATTTGGATTCTATGATACAGACCATTATATTTAAATTATCTTAATATAGTTATGAATGTTTCAAAAGAAGGTAAAATTATGTGTTCATAAAAATAACAGCGCATTTTATTTATCATTATCTAAAATAAAAGAATAATTCGCATTTGTGCGGCATCTCATTATCCCTATACTGATGCATAACCTATTTTGTTATTTTGATAAATTTCTTATTTCAGCTGGTTCCCATATGGACAATCCATTATGTAAGGTCCTGAGACACTTAGCAGTTTTGATGATGACAGCAGGTTGCCCACAACATTTCAAACTAAAAAATTTAATTTTTCCTTCTTCCCTCCATGAAAGATTTTGCCAATTTTATATTGACCGTCTATATGTGGTAATTCGTGTTCATTTAAATTTATATTTAGGTCTTACAAATGTCTTATGGTTGCCCTTGCCCTCATATGAAGTTTTAAATCATTCTCAACTTTAAGAGAACTAATATTTAAGGGTAAGGCTGATTCTTGCAAAAACACTCATGCTTTGTGATTTTTTGTGACAACGCAGTTAAAATCTCTTTATTAAAACCAATAGTACATTAAAGTATGACATTCGTAGAACGTTGTATACAATCTTCATGAAGAAGTATTTAAAAAGACAGGAATTATTCGAACATGTCTCGGAAAAAACGGAAAAAGTAGGTTTGGGAGCTTCCTCATAACTTGGTGCTGGATCATCTGAAATCAAAACATCAAGGCTCATTCCTTCCCCTCAGATAACTCAAATAACGCCGAGAGGGGTTTTCGAATTTTTAATTTTTAAAAACTTTGAAGAAAAAAACACCTTTTTAAGCGAAAAAATTGGGTAATTTGTTATTGTAAAATAAAAATTATTAACAAATTTAACTTTTCGGCGTTACCTCGTAAATTTACATGTGTACAGAAATAGTGTTCAAAAATTTAAAGGAATTGGTGTATTAGTTGTGAAGTCAAGTGGAGCACCGACTTTTAAAACATGAGTTGTGCGAAAAACTTTTCAAATAGTATAAAAATACTCGTAACTTCGTCAATTTTGCTCCAATGTTCCAAATTTTTTCAATTAAGAAATAAAAAAACTTAAAAGCCTAATAAAAAAAAGAGTATGAAAAAACGTTAACTTCGGTTGCAGCGAAGAATTTGATTCCGATCGTTCAGTTTGTATGGCAGCTATATGCTATAATGGCCCGATATCGGTGGTTCCGACAAATGAGCAGGTTCTTGAGGTGGAAGGGACGTATGCGAAATTTCAGATCGCTATCTCAAAAACTAAAAGATTCTTCGCGTATATACAGACAGACGGATGGACAGACAAACAGACATAGTCAAATTGACACAGCTCGTCATAGTGTTTATATATATTTTTTATAAGGTCTCCGGCGTTTCCTTCTAGGTGTTACAAAACTCGTGGCTATCTTAGAATACCCTGAACAGGGTATAAAAATACAAAATAAATAAATTTAAACACCTTAACAGTCCTAGGCAACAATCAGTTAAAGAAGTACTGCTATTTTTATGAACAACTAAGAATTGTCGATCTAACAACTTTAAGCTAATCCAAATTAGTAATCATTTTCTATACCGTTATGTTAGTCTGAAAATTTATATAATTAATATATAATAGATTAGTGTTTTGCAGTAAAGCATATCCCAACGCACACTACTATTAATATGAACAAACTTGTAAGTATGTGTATAAAAAAAAGCATCTGTTATTACGCATATATTAATTATGCCTTTTCCAAGACTTTTTTGGTGATTTAAATCCACTGACTTTCCAATCATACAATATTTTATATGCATTTACCAATATATTAGAAAGAGCAATTGTAAATTGAAAAAAATATATATTTAAAATTATAATAATGATAGCACTACTTTCTTTTCCCAGTGGAAAAAATTACACTTCGCACAAACCCACAAATCAAATGGGATGTGACACCACTTTCTTTTCAATTTTCTTCGATTTACTGTTATTTATAACGCACATACTTATATACATATGTGCATATTTTGTCTCATTAACTCATTTCTTTTTTTACTATTTTCTTTCCATATATTTATGTACAAATTTGATTATATTTCAAACGAACACCGTATCACTGTAACGACGAATCACACTTTGTATAACGTTAATTTTTGCGAAGCGTTAAGTAAAGCCAGGCGAAATGTTGTTGCTATGCCCGCATGAAAAATCAAAGGCCGCAATGATTCTTTTTACATTAATTTATCTACGTCTAGTACCTATGTTACGATCGAGTAAATATATGCTTTTCAACTTAATACAAAAAGTCCCGATACACTTGTACACATACAGAAGCGCTCACAAGTGCAGCTCTGCTTTGCTTAATTGTCGATTTCAGTGGCCAAATAATAATTGGGTATTCCATTGGCTAAAAGCACCAATAGCTGTTTGCGCGCGCGCACCGTTTTAAACTGCTGCAACGGAACCAAATCGAATCAAGCGACTGACTGTGTATCGCAACAGTGTATTACGGTTAGGCTGTAAGTTCTACCGATCTCCGAGTCCAAGTTGGCCATGTGAATTTCACTCAATGACTCAAACTTCAACCTGCGCCTCTA